TTGGAGAAGACTCTTGAGAGTCCCTTGGACTGCAAGGAGATCCAACCAGTCCATCCTAAAGGAGATCAGTCCTGGGTGTTCATTGGAAGGACTGATGCTGAAGCTGAAACTCCAATACTTTGGCCACCTCATTCGAAGAGTTGACTCATTGGAAAAGACCCTGATGCGCTGGGAGGGATTGGGGGCAGGAGGAGAAGGGGACGACAGAGGATGAGATGGCTGGATGGCATCACCAACTCGATGGGCATGCGTTTGAGTAAACTCCAGGAGTTTGTGATGGACAGGGAGGTGTGGTGTGCTGCGATTCATGGGGTCGCAGAGTCGGACGCGACTGAGCGACTGAACTGAACTGAGTGTGTTTATGTTAATCCCAAACTCTTATTATTCCCCCCCACACACATTTCCCTTTTGGTAACTGTAAGTTTGTTTTTGAAGTCTGACTCTCTTTCTGTTTTGTTTTTTTTTTCTTTCTGTTTTGTAAATAAGTTCATTTATTTATTTTTTTTTGAGTCCACATACAAGTGATATCATATAATATTTGTCTTTGTCTGACTTACTTCACTTAGTGTCATAATCTCCAGGTCTTTCCATGTTGCTGCAAATGGTGTGATTTCATTCTTCGTGATGGCAGACTAATATTCCACTGTATATATGTACCCGATCTTCTCTGCAATGAAGACCTGAAAGCATTTTCTCTGAGATCAGGAACAAGACAAGGATGTCCATTCTTGCCCTTTTATTCAACATGGTTTTGGAAGTCATATCTATGGCAATCAGAGAAGAAAAGGAAATAAAAGGAATCCAAACTGGAAAATAAGAAGTAAAACTGTTGCAGATGTTTTTTAACTTATGTTTTTAAAAAACTTATGATGTTTAAAAAAACTTACATTTTTTAAACTGTTTAAAAAAGTATTTTTTTCAGTGTTGCAGATGACATGATACTATACATAGAAAACCCTAAAGATGCTACCAGAAAGCTATTAGAGTTCACTAATGAAATTTTCTTGACCTCACATTAACTATGCAGGAGGTTTTGTTATTTGTGTTTCAAATACAATCTAACATTTTTTCCTTTGAGGAGTTAAATTCATTTTGCAGGAAGTCATATCGCCTTACGTAATACATATTTGGAAACTCTTTATCTCCCTTCCTCTTTTTCCAGTCCCTTCTTTATCTCTTGCTTTCTTCACCCCTCTCTGTCTTTAGATCATAGATATATATGGGGGCAAATGAGAGAGAGAAAAATAGAAAACACGATTTGTTCTTTTAATTATTTAGTTTTTTATTGAAGTAAGTTGATTTACCATATTGTGTTAGTTTCAGGTTAATAGTGATCCAATTCTTTTTTTTTCAGATTAGATTGTATTATAGGTCATTAAAGATATTGAGTATAATTCCTTCTGGTAAGCCATAAACCCTAGCTATTTATATATATTATATATATAGCAGTTTGTTCATCCTATACTCATTTGTCCCTGTGCCCCTCCCTCTCCTCTTTGGGAATCATAAGTTTGTTTTCTATGTCAAAAAGTCTGTCTTTTGTATATACATTCGTTTGTAATATTTTTTAGATTCCACATATAAGTGATGATATGTAGTATTTGTCTTTCTCTGTCTGACATATTTCCCTAAGTATATTATTCTCTAGGTCCATCCATGTTGCTGGAAATAGCAATATTTTGTTTTTCTTAGGTTGAGTTATAATTCATTGTGTGTATATATACATATATATATATGCCACATTTTTTAAGCCAGTCATCTGTTGATGGGAATTGGGTTGCTTTCATTTCTTGGCTATTGTAAGTACTGCTGCTATGAACACTGGGGTACATGTACCTTTTTTAGAGTTTTCACCTTTTGGGGCTATATGCCCAGCAGTGGGATTGCTGCAGCCCGAACTAGAGGGCCAAGATCTCAGAGAGTAGCTTCATGCATTGAGAGAGTCTCATATTTCATACTGTCCCCCCCCCCCAGGGCATTTCTCAATTCAAATCATGGGACGTGGAAATATGGAAGAAAGTGGTGGCCTAGTGCTGTGGTAGTCTCACTGAAGCAGAGCAACAAAACATCCAGGACTTGAGTCAAGTTACTGGAGAAAAGGGAACCAAGGAAAGGTGAGTCTGACTTTCAGCATGCCATTTTTGCTTTGGTGCATTTTTATGTCTTCTATGTCTTCTCTTTATAAAGAACATATTCAACCATAAAAAATGAAATCTTGGCATTTTTATATATGTATACACACACACACACACCCTGCCACATATTCTTTATTCATCTCTTGATGAACACTTAGGTGACTTCCATATCTTGTCAATTGTAAATAATGCTGCTATGAACATTGAAGTGCATGTATCTTTTTGAATTATGGTTTTCTCCAGATATATGCCTAGGAGTGGGATTGTTGGATCATATGGTAGTTCTATTTTTAGTTTTTTTAAGGAAACTCCATACTGTTCTCTATAGTGGCTGTACCAATTTACATTCCCACCAGCAATGTACTTGGGTTCCCTTTTCTCTATACCCTCTCCAGCATCTATTTTTTGCAGGAGTTTTTATGATGGCCACTCTGGCTGGAGTGACATGATACTTCATTGTAGATTTAAGTTGCATTTCTGTAATACTTACCAGGGCTTCCCTGGTAACTCAGCTGGTAAAGAATCTGCTTGCAATGCAGGAGACCCCGGTTTGACTCTTGGGTTGGGAAGATCCCCTGGAGAAGGGATAGGCTACCAACTCCAGTTTTCTTAGGCTTCTCTGGTGGCTCTGAGGGTAAAGAATCTGCCTGCAACGTGGGAGACCTGGGTTCGATCCCTGGGTTGGGAAGATCCCATGGAGAAGGGAACAGCTACCCACTCCAGTATTCTGGTCTAGAGAATCCCCAAGACAGAGGAGTCTGGCCCCACAGTCCCTGGGGTCTCAGACAGACAGACACAACTGAGCAACTTTCACTTCACTCACTCTGACTGGAGTGAGATGATGCTTTGTTGTAGTTTTTGTTGTTGTTGTTGTAGTTTTAATTTGCATTTCTCTAATACTTAACAATGTTGAGTATATATTTGTGGTCCTTTTGGCCATCTATATGCCTTCTTTGGAGAAATGTCTATTTAGGTCATCTGCCCATTTTTTGATCAGGCTATTTCTTTGATACCAAGCCACATGAACTGTTTGTAAAATTTGGAGACTAATCCCTTATTGGTCACATCATTTGAAAATATTTTCTCCCATTCTGTAGGTTATCTCTTTGTTTTGTCTATGGTTTCCTTTATTATACCAAAGTTTTTGAGTTTAATTAGGTCCCATTTATTTACTTTTTTTTTTTCTCCATTAGTCTGTGAGATGGTTCCAAAAGGATTGCTACCATTTATGTGAAAAATTGTTCTACCTATGTTTTCCTCTAGTAATTTTATAGTATCAGGTCTTACATTTAGTCTTTACTCCATTTGAATTTATTTCTGTGCATGGTGTTAGATAATGCTCTAATTTTATTCTTTTATGTGTGGCTTTCCAGTTTTCCCAGCACCACTTATTGAAGAGACTGTCTTTTCTCCATTATATAATCTTGTCTCCTTTCTCATAGATTGACTATAAGTGTGTGAATTTCTTTCCAAGTTTTCTCTCCAGTTCCATTGATCTCTATATCTGTTCTCTCCAGTTCCATTGATCTCTATATCTGTTTCTGTGCCAATACTGTTTCAGTTACTGTAGCTTTGAAGTAGATAGAATGTGAAGTCTGAAAGGATTATATCCACAGTTTTGTTCTTTTTCCTCAGGATTGGGAAATTCTGGGTCTTTTGTGATTCCATATAAATTTAAGGAGTAACTTTTTAAAATTTGTTTACTTATAATAATTACACATTTCTAATTATTAAAAATATTGGCTATATTTCCCATGTTGTGCAGTATATGCTTGTAGCCTTTCTTACACCCAGTAGTTTGTATTACCCACTCTTCCACCTCTGTATTACTCCTCCAAATCCTCTCCCTATTGGTAACCACTAGTTTGTGGTAACTACTATTTGTGAGTATGCTTCTTTTTTGTTATATTCACTAGTTTATTTTTTATATTCCACATATAAGTTATATAGCTTTTGTCTTTGTCTGACTTGTTTCACTTAGGATAATGCCCTTTGAGTCCATTCATGTTGCTGCAAATGGCAAATATTCATTCTGAATAGTATTCTATTGTATAAATATATACCACATCATCTTTATCCTTTCATTTGTTGATGGACACATAGGTTGCTTCCATGTCTTAGCAGTTGTTAAGTAATGCTGCTGTGAACATTGGAGTTCATGTATCTTTTTGAATTAGTGATTTGCGGTTTTCTGTATGTATACTCAGGAGTGGAATCTCTGGGTCACATGGTAGTTCTTTTAGTTTTTTGAGAAACCTCCATACTGTTTTCCACAGAGGCAGAAGCAATTTACATTCCTACCTATGACATACAAGGATTCCCTTTCATCCACAACCTTGACAACATTTCTTATTTGTAGACTTTTTGATGATAGTCATTCTGACAGGTGTGAGATGATATCTCTTGTGGTTTTGATTTGCATTTCTTTAATGATTAGCGATGTTGAGCATTTTTTCATGTGCTTGTTGGCCATCTGAATTTCCTCTTCAGAAAGTTGTCTATTCAGTTCTTCCACCCATTGTTTAATTGGTTTGTTTGGTTTTTGATGTTGAATTGTATGAGCTGCTTATATATGTTGGCTATTAATCCTTTATCAGTCATATCACTTGCAAATATCTTTTCTTAGAAATATTTCTCCTAGGTTATCTTTTTGTCAGTGGTTTTCTTTGCTGTGAAAAAGCTTTTAAGTTTAATTAGGTCCCACTTATTTATATTTGCTTTTATTTCCATTACTCTAGGAGATGAATCCACCTTTTTGAAATTAGGATCTGGTACACTGGTGAGTTCTGTTCCATGGAGTTTCTCTTGCTCTTCTTATTGGGAGTGGTTTATGCATTTTCATTTTATTTAACTTTCCCCTAAATTCAGAGAGACACAGAAACTTAGCTTTTGTGGTCTTAAAGGGCATTTTTATATGGAAGCATCACTGTGTAGACTGTGTGTAATATCTTTGGTGAGAGGGCTGGTTTTAATATGGACACCAGCCACATCTTTCTTCAGGGTGTGCTGGCTGTTTTCCCCTTGATAGGGGGTGTGGTGGCGTTGGAGGGTCTAAAGCCTGTGTTGGGTATGAAGCGGGACTTCCTCTTTGCTCTGTGGCTGTCGCCATCCTGTCAGGGGCGGGGCCTGCTCCCCAGGTGATGGAGTAGAAGCGGGCTGGTTGAGCCCAGTCAGGCCCCATTCCCCGAGTGTGTGCCCAAAGGAAGTGATCACCAAAGCAAGTTAAGCCCACACACTCACAGAGGAATGATGTGCTGCCTGTGAAGGCCTCTGCAGCTCCACTGGGATGCAGCCCAAGGTCACATCCCTTCCCTGTCATGTCAGTCCCAGATCTAGTACAACATTATGATGTGGAGTGGCTGGGGCATTCACCAGTCACGGGGCTCTGTGGCTGCAGGAACTGAGGGGGCTGAGCTGCTGCCAGCACCCTGGGCCGTCTCCGCCTCCATGCTCAGCTGCAGTGTGGCGTGGGTGGGGCCGGAACACTGTGCTGGGAGGCTCACTGTGGCGAGCTCTGGCAGCACTGCCCAAGCACACCTGCCAGTGACCACTACTGCCTTGGCCAGATCACACCCCAGACCTGTCTCTGTAGTTATACAAATCTCAGGGCCAGCTGGCCCGGGTCTCTTACAAAGCTATGGTGAGGAGTGAGCAGTACTGGAGTGTTTGCCCCATTCGGATTGAGAAATGCAGCAAGGTGGCAGCTGTCAGTACAAGGCTCTTTCTGCCATGATTGTTGGCAAGCCAGCACACACAGACTCCTTGGTACTGAGTCTGAGCTTCTACAGCCCTTAGATCTGTCTCAGCAGTTCTGCCATTAGCCAACAGGGCTTGTCTTCTCCATGCTGTTCCCCAGGCCTGGGAAACCCAGACTGTGACTCGAACTGCTTGCAGTCCTAGATGAGGCTCCACCAATGCAGGACTTCTCTTCCTTCCAGATTCTTCTCAGGGGTGGGGGTCCTGACCCTATGCCTTTTTTCTTTCCTACCTTGTTAGGTGGAGATTTTTCTTGCAGCTTTGGCTGTATAGGAGTTCTTCAGTCAGTTTCCAACTAGTTTTCCATGAGAACTATTATTCTGTATGTAGATGTATTTTTGATGTGTCTGGAGGCGAAGGTGAATGCCACATTCTCTCATTCTGCCATCTTGAGTCCTCCTTTGGAAAACACAATTTGTAATTGTCTAGAGCTCAAAACTTGGACAAAGACTTTAAAAACACAAGTTATCAACTTTAGTCCTGAATATAGAATTAATTTTTTTTCTTTCCAAATAATCTGATAGTTTACATAAAACTAAAATTTTACTGTTCCCCAAAGCATCACCAACACCCTTCAGGCCTTTTTATCTTCTGGGTCAAAATAATCTTGGCACTTGAACAACCTTGCAATGGGTGTGTGAATTTATTTGGATCTCATAGGGCCAAAGTAAACTGATAAATGTGTTTCTCTCACAGCTATCCACATTATCTGTTTATAAACAGCCTTATTTAATTTGAACTGAATTTGCAAACGTGGACCATTCCTAATCTTTCCCATCCCTTAAACATAGGTTGCACTAGTTCATTTTGTTCTTGACTCTGATCCTAAGAATGATGTACACTTTCCCTAAGAGAGAAAAAATAATTAGTTGATCAATGTAACAAAAACTTTCCCAATGAGTTTCCAATAAAGAAACAACACATCAAACACCAACAGTGCCAAAATATTTACTGAGAGTTTTCAAATCTTTCAAAAATGTTACAGAAAGCAAGCAAACACAGTGAAACTAATGACAAATTAGACACTAAAAACTAACATCTGGATAAATCTATGCAGGCATTAGGAGAAAAGGGTAAATCTATAAGCATTAACTATGATTAAAGCACTGCATTAGGCTTTTTTATACATATCTCATTTGACCCCATTCAGGAAACATTATCCCAGACTTGGAAATGAAAGCAAAAAAAAAAAAAAAGGATTGTGTGATCCATTAATATCTTGCTAGCCCATTAGCCATCAAGCTCACCCAAGGGCCATCTGACTCTCTCCAGAAATATAACTTTAATAATTCAATAAAGACCAGATTAAAGATTCTATAAAGTTGGAAACTGATTTGTAGAAAATTGATAAAACATGATTTTTGTTTTCTTATAGAGAAATTTACCTTCATGGTTAAAGTTATATAGAAATACCGCCAAGGTTATTTCCCTTTAGGATACTAACCAAAGTAAGGCTTTTACTTTACCATCTCATTTGATCAAGGCCTTTCCCACTGATTACTTAAGTTCCAGTTCTTCACATTTGCTCTTTTCAAACTCTGTTATTCTGATATTAGTAGTTAAATGGCACTTAACTAATCATCTATTCACTGAGAATTGTTTTTAATGATTTAAGAATTTGGGCTTTGACAATCGTCAAACAACCACATGAGGTAGGTAGAAAATCCTCATTTTACAGAGGAAGAAACTGAGTCCCAGAGGAGGCACGTTACCCGCCAGAGGTTAGCAAGGTAAGCAGCAGAACTGGAGTCTGAACATGAATACACGTGAATTCTTTTTACAGCTGCTGTGCTGGTGACTCACATGTGGACTGAAATTTGGGCTGGTACATCTCCAGAAACTCAACACATATGTTAGAATTATGACAGGTGAACAACCTACACCTGCATACTTAAATAGCAATTAAAGAGATTATTCATTTGGCTTCAAATCTGAGCTTTTCAAAATTGGAAATAACGAAAGTATTTGCAGAAACATTAATTACATGAAATACTATCATCAAAGTGTGAAATTTCAGTGCTTTGCTGAGTCCATCAATAGTTATGGATGACACAAAGTAAATAACTACTGAGTTTGTTATAAAAGTCATTGACAAGTACATAGAATACCTTCTATCTAGAGTCTCTCTTTGACATTTCATGAACATGTCCCTGAGAATTTTTTGAATAAATTTGAACAAGTTGTCAGCCTACCCACTGTAAAGATGCTCAGTCTACTTTGTCTCCAGACTAGTAGAAAAATGTGGAATACCAGCATGTTTTTCTTCTCTTTAGGCATGAAGGGGATCTGTTGTTCTGACTGAACACACAGGTAGAGATCAAGACTGGACAGTGAAAGCTGCTGTAAGTCTGAAAGCACCTTCATGTACAATGTGTACCTCTAAAATTTTAAACATGTATCTTGGAAATAGCTGGCCTTACATATATGTGTTAATGTGTCACAAGGATGCTTTTCACAGCTGCGATATATAACTTGCGAATGTACCCTTTTATCCATCTGAAGATCCATTCTCTGGGTATGCAGATTTACAAGTGTTTCTCCATAAATGAGATTCTAAAGTACAGATTGATTGGTATCTAGGTTGATAGAAATCTGTGCTAGTATTTTCAGAGTTTTGTCCACCAACTCATCAATTAGGCAGTGCCCTCTGGCCTGGTTGTCAGTAGAGTGCATCTCTATCTGATGGGCACTGGCTGCTGTTTGCCACAGGTTTAGGATAAGTGAGGCCATCTGCTCCAGCCTAGCCCCTGACCCCAAACCCTGGAGCCAGCAGATTTCAGCTCCAACTGAAGTGAAAATATAACTGTGTGGTTCAAATTCATTTTGACTCACAGTTTTACTGTTTTATCCTGGCTAAAGCTGCTCACTGTGTCTGTGGTTTTCTTACATAAATTTTCAATCCAGCTAGTGCTATTATACAGTGTCTTTTCCAACCCTGACACTGGGGGTGGATTTTTAACTCGCATGTTTTTTCCAGATGTGATAAGCTCACCGTAGCCCTCTTGGTGAGCAAAAGCATATCCAGATCTTCGCGAGCTTGATCTCCGAGTCTGAGGCTTTCGGCTACGCAGGGGCCTTGCCTTCTTTTGAGCCTTCTGCCACTGGCGGATCTGGAGACAAAGGAGACCCAGAGTGAGACGGAGGATCCAAATGACAGACTCCACATAGAGGGCCACTTCCTGAGGTAAAAACCTTTTCTGTAAAAACAACATCAGTAATAACCAAGTACTCAACTTCACTGCAAAATCTAGTTTTTTACTTAAAAGCCAGGAAAACTGGATACTGGTCAGTTTTTATTTCTACCAAGAGACTATTAAGCAAACAAAAAGTGTTAAGATAAATTTCAGAATTGTCTCCATCTCATACATCCATCTTAAATGAACAAGACCATATTTCGCACAGAATGATTTTGTAACTTGCACCACCCAAACTCAGTCAGTATAACAATTTACAGTCCCATTTCCCCCAAATAAGCCTTTCCTTTCTCTTTTAGAGGTTCTCTGGCTCCAAAAAGTCAGTGGTGACTGGACTAAGAAAATTTGAAATTTATGACTCTCATTTTCTAAACTCTTGTGACAGGTCCAAGTACCATGAGATTTGTCATGGTTTTGATTTCTTGTGGGTTTTCTGGTGACCTTTTGAAGAGCTCAACGTTGTTTGAATGGGTTTGTAGCATCTCATTTCCCTGTAATGCTGAGGAGAGAAAAGATCCAAGGTTTGATGCTTAGCACCTTGTTCTCTAGATGAGCTGACTGATCACTTGGATTCTGACTTTCACGTCAGGAGAAAGTCATCAAGCAGAAAATCATGGTGTGCATAAACATAGAAAGGAATGAGCATCATCTTCCTTCAGCTCATCCATCATTGTCTGGATTTACATCAGAATGAGCTCACAAGGCCAAAGAAAAAGGGCAAACTTTAGAGGGGAATGAGTGAGTCAGTTCAGAAGGAATCTCTTGGCACTTTGGCCCCAGACCAGGAAGGATTTCATGATAAGGGAATTTCTACCTCAGTTCTTCTCAGCATCATCAGCCTGGTCACTCATCAAATCAGTATTTCCCCCTTCTCATGACGTGGCTATAAATGTGTGTCCCCTCTTTCTAAATATGTTCTGTTAATCCCTTGGCTTAGGTAGTTCTAGAATCTATTCTGTTTTTCTTCTAACTGTACTTTTCAACCCAGCTGTTATGAACGCCACCTCCCCCTGTTACTATTAATATATTTCTACAGATATTTAGAGCCCCTTCACCTCATAACTTATTTGTCTCTCTTTTACAACCGTTTACTTTCCCAAGTCAGTAAAGCTTCCCTTTGCCTTGGGAGCAAATGTCCAAAATGCTGCCAGGGGTTACATGGTAGCCAGCCCTACGTTTAGTTTCTTAAGGAACTTCCATACTCTCCTCCATAGTGCTGCACCAATTTAATTCCCACTAACAGTGCTTGAGGGTTCCCTTTTCTCCACACCCTCTCCAGCATTTATTGTTCGTAGACTTTTTGACAATGGCCCCACTGACTGGAGTGAGATGATACTTCATTGTAGTTTTGATTTGCATTTCCCTAATGCTGAGCGATGTTGAGCATATTTTCATGTGCCTTTTGGCCATCTGTATGCCTTCTTTGGAGAAATATTTAGGTCTTCTGCCCATTTTTTGATTAGGTGGGGTTTTTTTTCTATTGAGTCCCATGGGCTATTTGCAAATTTTGGAGACTAATCCCTTATCAGTAACATCATTTGCAATTTTTTTCTCCCATTCTGTGGACTGGCTCTTCATTTTGTTTATGGTTTCCTTTGCTGTGCCAAAATTAGATCCCATTTGTTTATTTTTGTTTTATTTCCATTACTCTAGGAGACAAACCAAAAAAAGATATATTGTTGCAATTTATGTCAAAGGCAAAACATTCTGCCTATGTTTTCCTTTAAGAATTGCATATCTGGTCTTACATTTAGGTCTTTAATCCATTTTGTTTTTGTGTATGGTGTTAAGAAATGTTCTAATTTTTTTTACATGTAGCTGTCCAGTTTTCCCAGCAGCATTTATTCAAGAGATTGTATTTCCTCCAATGTATATTCTTGCCTCCTTTGCCACAAACTGACCACAGGTACCTGGGTTTGCTGCTGGGCTTTCTATCCTGTTCGGGTGAGCTTTTTTTTTTTTTTTTTTTTTTGTTAAAATTTATTTTTTAATTGAAGGATAATTGCTTTACAGAATTTCGTTGTTTTCTGTCAACTATCAACATGAATCAGCCACAGGTATTCACGTGTCCCCTCCCTCTTGAACCTCCCTCCTCCCTTCCTCCCCATCCTTCCCCTCTAGGTTGTTAGAAAGACCCGGTTCCAGTTCCCTGAATCATACAGCAAATTCCCATTGGCTATCTGTTTTACATATGGTATAGTAAGTTTCCATGTTACTCTTTTCATCGGGTGAGCTTTATTTCTGTGTTTGGGCCCACATCATCTCTGTTGCTTTACAATGTAGTCTGACGTCGGGGAGCTTGATTCCTCCAACTCCGTTTTCCTTCCTGAAGACTGCTTTAGCTATTCAAGGTTGGTGTGTCTTCATAAACATTTTAAGATTTTTTGGTTCTAGTTCTGTGAAAAAATACCATTGGCAATTTGATAAAGATTGTACTGAATCTGTAATTGCCTTGAGTAGTATAGTCATTTTGATAATATTAATTCTTTCAATCCAAGAACATGGTATCTATTTCCATCTGTACTTGTCATCTTTGGTTTCTTTCATCAGCATCTTATAGTTTTCAGAGTACAGTTCTTTTGCCTTATTAGGTAGGCTGATTCCTAGGTATTTTGTTCTTTTTGATGCAACAGTAAATGGATTGTTTAATTTCTCCTTATTATCTTTTGTTGTTAGTGTATAGAAATGCAACAGATTTCTGTGTATGAATTTTGTATCTTGAAACTTTACCAAATTCAGTGTTACTACTACTCTGGTAGCATCTTTAGGATTTTCTGTGTATGATATCACGTCATTCACAAGCAGTGACAGTTTTACTTCTTCTATGCAGTTGTTGGAATGTAAGTTGGTACAGCCACTATGGAGAATGTATGGATATTCCTTAAGAAACTAAAAATAGAGCTACTATATGATCTTGCAAGTCCACTCCTGGGCATATATCTAGAGAAAACCATATTCGAAATGTTCATGCACCCCAATGTTCATTGTAGTGCTATTTATAGTAGCTAAGACATGGAAGCAACCTAAATATCCATCAACAGATGAATGGATAGAGAAGATAAGGTATATTTATACAATGAAATATTAGTCATTAAAAAGAATGAAACAACGCCATTTGCAGCAACACAGATGGAATCTAGAGATTATCATACTAAGTGAAGTTAGAGAAAGACAAATATGATATCACTATATGAAGAATGATACAAATGAACTTATTTACAAACTGAAACAGACTCAGAATATTTAACAATAGCTTTAAGTTCATTCTCTAATTATGTTGACATTATTTAAAATGGAACTCTATTCTTAAATTCCTTTTGAGGGGACTCCTTGGTAGTTTATAAAACTAAAAGATTTTGTGTACTAATATTTTGTATTGTAAATTTGTGTATTTGATAACTAGCTGAAGTTACGCTTTAAATTTATATGCGTGCTAAGTTGCTTCAGTCATGTCCAACTCTTTGCAACTCCATGATTTCAGCCTGCCAGGCTCTTTAGTCCATAGGATTTTCCCAGGCAAGAATACTGAAGTGGGCTACCATTTCCTTCTCCAAAGGATCTTCCCCACCCAGGAATTGAACCCGAGTCACTTACATCTCCTGCACTGGCATTGAAAGGCAGGTTCTTATACCTCATAGATATAACTTATGTGTTTATACTTATCAAAATTACTGTTATTTAGAGTGCTTTTTTAAATTAACATATTCATTGTTTTAACTGTGATGATGTGGATTTGTGGTGTAGAAGTACAAAGTGTTTTAAATGTGATGTTGACTTCCTATTACTGTTATTTGGTGCATGAATCTTGTATCAATGTTTGAATTGCTTATTGGATTGGATTGTTAAGTGTGCACTTTGCTTTGATTGTGGATGCTGTAGGTGCTTCAGAAAGGTAAGTCTATGGTTGGGGTTTGGGTTAAGTTAGGGGTTGGGCGGAAGGATAGACTGGGAGTTTGGAATGGACGTGTATACACTGCTGTATTTAAAATAGATAACCAACAAGGACTTGTGTAGCACAGGGAATGTGTGTCAATATTCTGTAATAACCTAAATGGGAAATGAATTTGAAAAAGAATAGATGCATGTATATAACTGAATCACCTTGCTGTATACCTGAAACTACACTTTAATCAACTATGTGCCAATATAAAAAAATACACAACTTGACTTGTAATTTATGACTCCTCACCCACATTTAGTGTAGACAGTTATCTCCATTGGCACTCCCAGTGCTCGTACGTTCAGATGTGGACAGTTCCAGCTAATGTGATGGTGTGCACCTACCGGTAGGTGTTTGCTGATGAAAACTTCATTAGCTCTTCCCTGGACTTCTTGTCAGGCAGAGGACATGGTTCCAAGAGCAAAGAATCAACCCCTCAAGTACCCATCAGTGCTGCAACATACCTGATCACTCAGCGTTGGGAATAAATCCACCTTCAAAAATCTGAATGCCACCACAGGCATAACTGAAGCCACTGTTGTTAAGAGAATAACAAGCCAGATGCACTTCTGGGTCAAGGAATGTCGTGCATTTCCTATTATTAAAGAAAAATAAACACTGTGGTTATAAATCAGACTGAATTATTGAATTAATTGTTTGGATTTCCTAGAGAGAAACACTGGGTATCTTCCCCCAGCATATAGTATGCTCAGTGGTAAGAAAAGGGCAAGAACAATGGTAATATCACCCTTGGGAACTGCTTCATGGTTTGATCACTAGGAGACTGATAGCCAGAGACATGCATTGTCTGATCCAGGTTCAGTCTGCCTTCACTGAAGAACAGCATTCTCTCATCCAGTTTCAGGATGCCTCAACCACAAAGGAGTCCCTAAAGTCACATTTACCCTTAAAACTATCATATCAAATGACACAGTAGATGTTCTAGATGCAGGTACAATCGCAAATGATGGTCTCCACTGGCTTGGTCATAAAAAGTAAGCTGTATCTATGACAAGATCAACCTTTTAAATCCAGGCAACAGCCTCGAGTGGACATGCTGATCTCTGATGTTCCCATGGATATAAAGTCCTCAAGGTCCCAAGGTGATCAGAGATGCTCCTGGGTTTGTGAAAAGGGCATTCTCCACACTGGGAAACCACTGATGCAGTCATTCAATATACTAGTTCTAGAGAATAGTGAAATTCCTTCCCAAGCCTGGAGCCAGTGTTCTTATTTTATACTCACACCTTGTATCCTGGGCTGTTTGTCTAAACAAAGCAATAGCGGTCAGTGGGGCCGGCAGACAAATTATACAGAAGATGTCAACTGTACTTATATTGCCAAAATGAGCCTTTGTTCCTTTTGTTGCTTTTCTAGGCACATGATACCTCCAATTATCCCTCCCAATCCTACAGCATTACCACTATTTGAATGGGCTTTAGGTGTGAGGGCTTGGCTACTTATTGGAATGTCTGCATTTCCTGTCTTCGTAGGATAGACACTGCCTACCAAAGACCGCTTGATACCAACTGCCTGAGCAGAAATGAACAACTCCATAAATTAAATGACTCTTTGAGCTTCTTGAAGCTCAGTACCTGCAGCCATGGCTGGGGAAAAAAAAAAAAACAACAATCACTTTAAAACCACACTCCTCCTGTTTGCTGCTGGCTACTAAGAAAAAAATTTCTTAAACCTCAGTGTTGATCTAACTTGAAAAGTCTCATTGGAACTCAGTAATTAATTCCTGGAATGGCATGTGCTTAGCTGGAGAGAGTGGTCACCACACAGACTACTTTCTCCAGTTGAGGCATTCCAGTCTCATTATGAATGTGCGAACGCTCTCTTAGGACTGGAAGTCTTCTGGTCAACACACTGAACTTTCAGATTTGGCACCAAAGAGAACAGAAAAGGAAAAACTTAAATGTCTCTTTTTTTCCCCTAATATGCTTATGCTTATTCACAACCATCATATTTCTACATGGTTGGAACCTTTTGGTGGACAAAGGATTAACAGTTTATATTAAGTAAGAGTGGTGCAATTTAAATATTTCCAGGTACACAGAGCAAGACAAAAAATTGAATATAATACTCTTAAATGTATATATGCATTTAAATGGAATTACAATCTTAATGGAATTAATCTCAATTACAATCTTGGAAATGTAGAACCCGATAGTTGCTCTTATTTTGCTTTCTCTATGAATCAGTCTTCTAATAATTGTTTTTCTAGACTCAGTTTCCCAACTAATAGATGCAGATCTCAGCCTTACCTAATCGAACTCAAGAAGGTTGTCACTGTGCATCTCTTTCCCACATTTCCAGGATGAACTCAGAAACATCTTTGTTACCAGCTTATTTCACACACACTAGAAATTTTAAAACTTCTTTAAAAAGTCTATTAATAGCCCCACTGTGTAAAACTCAGTGGCCTTTGCTGGGAATCATTTTGAAATACGGGGGGGCAATGACAGTATACTCCAAAGGTAGGCCAGACGTATACTCTTGGTGGAATCATAGAATATTAGGGGCTCAAGGGATTTTAGGAGGCCTTTTGCTACCCATCTGCTGTTCACTTGCAATATTCCCCAACCAGTAATCAAGTCACATTTGCTTTAATCATCATTATCATGGTTAACATTTATTGATAAAGTACTATGTACCAAGCTGCATGCTAAGCATTTTACATGTATTATCTCATTTAACCCTCACAAATTCCCTATAAAAGTTGGAACTATGAATGTCCCCAAGTTTAGAAGGTATAAAAGGAAAAGAAACTTGCCTAAGGTCACACATCTTATACGTGACAGAGAACACTGGCTGGCTGTGCCACTTACAGCCTACTGCCCAGAAACTTTAAAAGACTAAATTACACACTGGGCTTCCCAGGTGACACTAGTAGTAAAGAAAGTGTCAGTTGCTCAGTCTGTCCAGCTCTGTAACCTGCCAGGCTCCTCTGTCCATGGGATTGTCTAGACAAGAATACTGGAGTGGGTTGCCACTTCCTTCTCCAGGGGAGCTTCCCGACCCAGGGATCAAACCTGGGTCTCCTGCATGGCAGGCAGATGCTTTACCCTCTGAGCCACCAGGGAAGCCCACTTAACACACCCACAAATTATACACTTCTCTTCTAAATGAAAATATGTTCCACAGGTAAACTTTGGCATAAATGCTGGTTATAATGTGGCATAAAAGGGAGAGCCTCGCATTTCTTTTTCTTCCCTCTATTATATACCTGAACTTCACGGTTTTCAGGCAGCTCTGATATATATGTGCTATGCCTCTGATTTGAAAAGGGACAGTCTGCTGCATCTGCACTGTTAGGAAACTCTAAGCCTCCAGCTGTCTGATTCAGTCAATTTCTAGAGACAGAATTACTGGTCATTCCTAGTCCCACAAAAATGAAGATACATTACAAAGACAAATGACATCTTGACATTATGCCCCAGCAAATAACATGACTCACTTACCAACAAATGGAAACTGGTTTGGGAAGATGCCAAAGATGCCATTACTGTGCATTGTAAACAAAATGGAGAAATAAGTGGCTATGCTGCCCCAGATGAAGACATGGTTAATGACAGTCCAATAACTGGTATCCAAGGCTATCTGTAAATAAAGTCAAATGCAAAGGGGAGATTGTTGAGGATGAAAAGAGCATCATTTTACTGAGTAATGTCTCCTCAGGACACTTCTGTGAAAAGACAATTGTACCTGTCTAGTTACCAGCCAACCACAGGCCCTACCACATTCTGCACAACACAGGAGACTGATGTGACATTTCTGGTAGACAACTGACCTTAGGACTTGTATCTGCCAGCCATTATATCTAACAATATTGAGTGAAAATCAGGAAATAAAATGTTAAACTTTTAAATGAGAAATAAGCAGAGTGGCTTCTAATTTCAACGCTACTTTCCAAATTGCTCTCTAAATTTGTCTATTGGAAAACTTTTTCATAGTGAGAAAGTGCAACATTTTAAGATCTGTACATAGATTTTCATTTGACCATTTTGACACAGGTATAGTCTGTTTTATATCAATATTCTAATTCATTTTGATTACCATTTCTGTTAAATAATAACAAAAATCCTTAATCCACTTTTGGCATCAGAAGTTGGGCTTCATGGTGATCTGGGAGCATATTCACAAGCCCTTCTCCCATCCAATAACTTGTTATGACAGCACAGCTGAAAAAGAGTGATCTGATAGGGGAAACTAAGGAGGCCACTGGTGAATATGAACACTTCAGTTCTCAGAGGAAAACAACGTAGGTTCTGTGAAACTGGGTTATTTGTAGTGATGTGGATGAACCTAGAGTCTGCCACACAGAGTGATGTGAGTCAGAAAAACAAATACCATATATTAGCTTATATACGTGGGATCTAGAAAAATGGTACTGATGCAGGACAGGGACAGAGATGCAGATAGAATGTACACGCGGATGCAGGTGGGGTGAATTCAGAGTAACTGATATAACACTACACCGTGGGTAAAACAGATAGCTGGTGGGAACCTGTAGCATAGCACAGGGAGTTTAGTCAGCTTGGTGCTCTGTGATGACCTTGCGGGCTGGGAGGGAGGCTCCAGAGGGAGGGGCTATATGCACACATATAGCTGATTTACATTCTTGTACAGAGGAAAGTAATACAACATTGTAAAGCAGTTTTACTCCAGTTTTTCCAATTTTTTTAAAAGTAGGTTCTAGCATCCTTATTTGCATCTCCGAGGTTCCAAATGGTCCAAATTAAAGTTTAGATTTCTAGCAGAGTCTCAGAAAGACCACAGGTTTCCTGCCTGCCCAAGGGGGCTCTACCTACACAGTAAATAGACTTTTCTGCATATAGAGACATACTTTCCCTTCCCACATGAAGTTACTGTCCTTTAAAATGATGCCCCATAAAAAGAATGTTAGCAGCCTTGATGAAACTGCAGGAGTGCCAAAAGGACAGCCTTTTCTTTCCTCAAGAGGCCTGAAAACAGAAAGCCGTGCCTTCTATACCTCAGCAAAGAAAGACTTGCTGGTTTCCCTGCTCATTCCTCAAGACAGCTGACCAAAATCTCTAGCTCTAACTTTCACCATCTGTTAGTTCATTACCATTAAAAAACACCAATAGTTTGACCTGTGTAGGTATGAGTAGGTAAAGAAAAATCACAACCAATTTAAGAGGACTTGACTGGGGGCGGGGGGTGGGGAAGTAGTTCCTACAATGAAAAAGACAGACAAGCACTATAACAATAATTTTAAAAAGCAATGAGAACTCTTAAGGAGAAGCAATTAGATCATAGAAAAAAAATTCTGGAAGAAAAAAGTGTTATTTCTGAATTTAAAAATTCAATAGAGAAACCAAATAAGAATAGTCACTGATTAGAACTGAATATTCTGTAAAAACAAATGGAAACATATAACAGGGCAAAAACTCTGAGAAATGGGAACCATGTGCAAAACCAATATGAGACATGGATGGTAAATCCATAGATGTCCAATCCATGGGCCCAACATTCACATAATGGCATCCTAGAAAAAGAAAAAGTAGCAATCAAAGAAATGACAAAGAA